GACCACCTAAAACAAAGAAGAAATAAATTATACTTGTGATTTCACAGGGCTTCAATACGACACAAGTATGCATATTTTTAATTTCCTTCAAGTGGCAGGAATAGCTGAAATGGCCTTCAGGTGAATACAACAGAATCCTCTGCGTGTATAGCCCTGTAAAACTATTCATTTGGCGTCGAAATTACATCCCAAATGTCGTGATATTTGACTGAAACTCAGCTTACCCATCTTTCGTTTAGACTTCGAAACTTGCTGCTTTTTTACCGCCGTTTCAATGTTTTCTTGTTGTTTAAAAGGTGGCAGAGCCATTGCAGATAGAGATTTTTTTTTTTGCTTGAGAACCAGATCACAACACCCAAGCCTTTTCATGCTAAAATATTAAACTACTGAGATTTCCTTCGCCGCCGTAAGCCGCCATCTAGTTCCCAAGCTTCGAGCCCGAAGGTCTCAAACAAGCCATGAAATAATGCTATTCATTATTTCAGGGCAAATTAAGAAGTAACGATAATATAATCATTGTTTTGGTATCGAGATCATGTTGGGAAGTCACCTGAAGGGATAGACGAGATTTGAGACTGGGACCGAGTGTCACGACCATTCTCGTGAAATTGTCGGCCGTTGTCGGCAAAATTGTCTAAACAACATGGCGAATGGTGCAATTTATAGAGGAAAACTCGATGTTAGCTATACACTTGGAACATTTGCATGAATTGTGGAAACTTTCATTTCGGATAAACTCTCCATTCAAAGTAAACCATGCGTGAAACTTTCGAATGTCTCGAATGAGCGTGACTCGATAGCACCGATATCGATCACGGGCGCGTACGAAACTTAATGAAAGTCATGCAAATAAAAAATATATTGTAACAAACAGTTTTAAACTCCTCTCTCTTGTTTATCAACCGTTTTTGATTTTTTTCCAAGGGCTACTGCATATAATCGAGGTAGGGTTCCGCTGATCTATCCCCTGCGGCGATGCTCGAGAGTACCCCTGTTCCAGGGGCCGGAAACGGAAGTCAAGCGGATCACGAGCAAAATAATAACGCAATCCAGACGCGCAAAACCAGTCAGTACTGACATACGACGGCGTGCTGATTACAGATTTAGTTTTGACTCTAGCATGATGCATGTTAGAGCGCTCTACGAATAAAAGTCTACTGTGGAACCCAAAACGTTGTCTCTTCCTTGACGTCCGTATAAGCTCACTCGAAGTAGATCACCGTGTGCCAGGAAATCGTGACGAGTTTCCATTCTCGTTCCCCCCGTTTTGTACGTTCCCGCGAAGTCAAATTTAGTGCGCAAAAAACTTATCGTCACAACCATAACATGCGGTACCGCCTGAGAAATAATCGATCTGATTTACAGTTCTGATTGATAACGAAATTTCTTTTGTAAACGAAAAAAAATTAATAAAAGAACAACAAAGAAAAGAAAAAAAAAGATCTGGCCGGCCAGTTCCGCCTTATAGTAGTCACAATTGGTAACAGTTTTTGAAAATTTTTTTCTCAGAGGGCACGGTAACTAATTCTGCAATCTGATTGGTTCTTTGCGCGGTCCGTATTTTCCTATCTCTGCCCACGGGCAACGGTAACGCTTTCGTGAGTCGCCGAGTACATCCCTACCTTCGTTGCCATTTTTCATAAATACATCTCGTTTTTCCGGCTGGGCAGTATTTTTAAGCAAAAACGTCGGTTACTATCTCTAGCCAATAAATAAAACTTATTAATCCTCTCTTTTCTCTCTCTTTAATCACTTTGGTTGACAGAAAAATTTGGGTTTCAAAATGAATTTGTATAAACAAAAGTGTCATTATGTTGGCTGACAAGTGTCCTAAAAACCTTCTGTAATTAATTGTTCACAAAAAGTACCTAGAAAGTTAAAACGTGAGGTGTTTGGATACAGTTGAACTAATCGATGGAACTTACATTCATTTAATATCTGAATTTTCTAAACAAATGTGTTCATAGTGAAAGAGCGAGCGAAGTTTTAGTTCTACAACAAATATACGCTCTCGGTGAGTCTTTCTAGGTCCCTTCAATTTAGACATTTGTACCGTAAGTTACATAACAGAAACTGAAGGAATTCAACCAGAAAAAGCTGCATTAAATCCTCCCGTGTCTCTATGGAGTGTCTCATTCGAATTTAGTTTTTGTGGAGGAAAGACCAGGTTTACACACGCCATTGCAGCAAACAAATGAGCACACTCTCACAACTTCAAAATAAAAAATTTGAATTTATTAATTACATTTACAATTACTTTCCTCGCTGTTTAAACCTCCGTATATTAATTAATCGTCGATGAGAGTGAATAATACTTTCTGTGAGATGATTAACTGTTTTTGAAGAAATATTGTCGTGCCAGTCCTAGACAAACTAGTTACGTTGTTTTTCAAAAGTGTACATGCGCTTTTTTTTTTCTTACCAGTTCTCTAATTGACAGGTGTCAGATTGTGACAGATACTTGTAAAATTAATGTTTCAAAGTTTTTTTGGAAGCCTTTTAGATCACCTTTATCTATACGCAAACGAAAATGTTTCGGTGAAACTTCTCTCTTTAATTTGCATCACCTCTATTTTAACTACCATTTACTCGCTCAAAAATTGTTCAGTTTATGGAAGATCTTGCCGTAATTACGGCCCTAAATCATTCGGATTCTTTCGGAAAGAATTTCGTTAAATTAAAAAAAAAAAGTTATTCACCAGCCTAGGTCTGTCCGTATTTGGAAAAACTGTGCCCCCTGTCTCGAATACCGTTTTTCCCAATACGGACCTCCTGGCTGACGAATAACATATGTATTAGCTCCTACTTTTAGGTGACTAATTTTCTGAAAAATAATCACCCCAAACCCTCTACCAGTGCCTTCACTCAGAAATGATAACTGTGAAAATAAAACCTTGCAATACTTTATTTTGGAACTTTACTTTGTCGTGATACCAGGGGTGTTTCTCTCTTGAATAAACTAACCACACAAGTGCTGGAAGGGGATTTGTGTTATCGTTAACTACCCCATTACCCTTTCCAAAGTTTCTCGGTCAAATTACTGCGAAATACACCTGAGTACGATATCGTTTTCCCTTGAAAAAATTGATTAATCACTTCCTTTTGAAACTGTGTTATTAATCGAATTTCTAGTTCCTTATAATCTAAATAACTTTAACTCATAAAACTCATGGCAGATGATTAGTTCAAGAGTTTTTAAATTACTTGACGATAACAAGCGATGTTACACTGAAAAGGGTGACGCATCAGATAGATAGAGGGTGAAGAAACTGCATGGATAAAGTACAGCTTAAAACTAAGCAGGAAACTATACTCTTATATTTTGATGACGAATCAAATGATGAACTGCATTTCGTTTTTACTAGTTCTGAGGATATCTTGTTGACAATATCCCAAACGTTACCTTTCAATGTCATGCAATGATACTCTTGTTGCTAATAGTTAAATATACAGTTCGACTATTTGCTAACCACCAATAGAGCAAGATGAGAGAAGGCCGTCAAACCCGTAAATGGGGGTCAACGTGGTAGAACATGGTTAACTTGGGGAAGATGAGGGTTAACCTGGTAGGACATGGCTAACGTATGGTAGATGTGGGTGAACGTGGTAGAACATGGCTAACTTAGGGTACATGGCGGTTAACAGGGTAGAACATGGGTAACTTGGGGTAGATGGGGGTTAACGGGGCAGAACATGGCTAACTTAGGGTATATGGTGGTTAACGGGGTAGAACATGGCTAACTTAGGGTATATGGTGGTTAACGGGGTAGAACATGGCTAACTTGGGGTAGATGAGGGTTAACGGGGTAGAACATGGCTAACGTGGGGTAGGTGGGGGTTAACGGGGTAGAACATGGATAACTTAGGGTAGATGGGGGTTAACAGGGTAAAACATGGCTAACTTGAAGTAGATGGGGGTTAATGTGATAGAACATGGTTAGCTTGGAGTAGATTTGGGTTGACGTGGCAGAACATGGCTAACTTGGGGTAGATGTGGGTTAACGTGGTTGAACATGGCTAACTTAGGGTGGATGTGGGTTAACGTGGTAGACATGATTAACTTAGGATATATGGGGGCTAATGTGGTAGAACATGGGTAACTTAGGCTAGATGGGGGTTAACGTGGTATATATAACATGGCTAACTTTGAGTAAATGTGGGTGAACGTGGTAGAACATGGCTAACCCGGGGTAGATTGGGGCAAACGTCGTAAAATATAGATGGGGGCTAACAGGGTAAAACATGGTTAACTCGGGGTAGAAATGGGTTATGTTACTTTTGAAACACAATTCATTTCCTTTGTGCCTGAGATTATTGATTAGCCGCCTGATTGCTTGTGTTAAGATAATGGTTCATTACGTCACTTTTTTTGTTACTGTATCATTGTAATTTAGTTCACAGTTCGCTCATATTACACGCCGAGGATAGACTTCTATTTCGGAAAAAGTATCGTGCGCTCTGCTGTCGAGAGTTTACTGTTTTGTCGACTTCGTTACGCTTTTCAAGTACTTAAGGAGCTTGACCAAAGTAAGTTACGTATATTGTTTTACGCTCGAGTTAGTTTATCGTTTGTTTCATTATTAGTTGATTTAAGTATAGATTAATGTATTGTGTCGTCGTTAGTTGGTCAATTATATTTATATAGGTTTCGTTTCGTTTTCTGTTGCCTTTTAGTTCGAACCACGCAATTTGCTACTACATTACAACCACTGAAACCACAATCGCTACGAAACAGTGTTTTTAACCGCAACCCCACTCCTCGCTACTTGGCCACGTAAGTCTCTTCGTATCTTCCTAATAAACACTTGAAATTGTTACATGTGATATTTGTGCGTTTGTTTTGTACCGTAAGCTCATCCACCTAGCCATCGTTACGCGACGCTAACTTGTGACCCTTAAGAAGTCACAGGTTATCGTGGTACAACAAACTAACTAGGACATAATGTAAACCATACATGAAGTGTATGACCTGATTTTTGTCAGCCATTTTGTCGTCTATCTGGCATTTAGTCATGGCGTGTAAACCATTAATTCTTTTTGTGGTCACCTTGTTTGGTTCCTTCATTCAGTTTTCTGGTTTGTAGCTTCGTTGGCAACATAACTCATTTAAGCTTGTTTTGAAATTTGACATTGGGACGAATATTTGAATATAATTTTTGTTTTTCGTCCTTCTGCAGCCTGCCTTACATGGACCAAGTATCCTGACTCCATATTGAGTGTTTGGAATGGTTCAAAGGTTGAATTACAGTGGGATTACAATCTGACCACGGCAGAACAGAATGTTGTGAAAACGGCTTTTAGTTTGTTTTGGAAACGAGGCAATGAGTCCCATCTGGTTAATGTCGCATCAAAGACATTTCATATATTTGTTCCACCCGAGACGATATCGGAGCCGCTCAGACCACATATCACTATAAGCAGATCAGAAAAAGCAACACTGATTATCAATGACGTTACTAAGGAAGACGAAGGTGTTTACAAATTCATTACATTCATTATAAGTGCAAGCTCACGAAACACCACCCTACTTGTCAAAGGTAAGTTGTCGATGAGGAAGTTGAAATATTTGATAATTAGATCGATTTCATGGTTGGGCCAAATTGGTCAGGGATTGTTAGTGACTTCATGAAAGCTTCGAGTTAGCGGTAAATATGCATTCACAGCAGAACCAGATAACAATTAAGCTTACTGCAACTGCCACTTTTCCTGTGCTTTTCATTGTACATAAAGAAGGTGACACACAAGCTGCTTCACAAATTCAAAAATTGTTACCGGTCTGATCACCACAGTTGATGTCTTTAGCCGTCTTTGACTGAACACACATACAACCAAATGTCATGTCATGTTATTTATAAAATGAATTTGAAAATGACTAATATCACATTTGGATAGTGAAGGTAGTGTTCAAGTAATGAAGAAGACATTTATCATTTGTCTGAAGAAGGGAGAACGCTTGAAACGTCAGCTCTGAAACTCTTACGTTATTGTGGCTAATTTATACTAAATATCAACTCATTTGATAAAACCAAATTATCTAGTTATACTCTCCCACCAATGCAGCACCACAGTTTCTTTAGATACTTACCCCCCTAATTTGTTTTTTCTTTTAAATAAACATTTGCTCAAACAAGATTTAATTTCCTTTGGATTTGATCCCATTTTTCAGCTATTTTCTGTCAGTTATCTTGAACTCAGTTAACTCAAACTCTCCTATTACTCAAAGTAATGATTGACATGTCCTTCCATTAAGTACAATTGATATGAACATAATAACGTCTATGAAAATGTAATACATTAACTTGCCAAATTTTGAATGTTTTTATAAAAAAGCTCTTACAAAACAAACTAAATATAACAATTCAAAATGACAGTTGATTGTGGAAGAATAGTAAAACATGATTTTCTTGAATTATGAACAGGATAATTGAAATTCAATACCAATTCAAATAACTTGAACTCCCACTAACTCTGACCAAATTTTTGTTCCCCTTGAGAGTTTTAGTCTGTAGGCTCCGCTGTACAAACACTGTTTCTTTAATGTGTAGTGTTCAATGTCCAACGGTGTGTGTGTTATGACTTTTAAGATGCATGTGTTTAACAATTGGTTTCCTTCCTTCTCCGACAGATTGGTACAATTAGCTCTCTGATCACCTCCAATACAGAATAAGCACACTGTTAAAAGTTTTATATTCAAGGCTTTGAAAAAGTTTTGAAAACTTTTAACACCGAAAAAAAAAAAAAGATAACTGCAGCTTAAATACAGACTTTTAAATATACCATGCTCATTGTAATCTAAATTTCCCTAGGAGGACCTTCGACTTTAACTAACTCATGTACCTTATATGCAATTGAAGCAGTTTTTACATTTGTTAGTTATGGTTAATTTCAAATTTTTTTTTAGAAAGCTCACAGTGATTTCATAACAATAGAAAAGAGGAATTTGCGGCTAAAATTTTCTAACTTCTGTTCCCCTTTAAAACATTGATGCTCATCTTTCTGCCATCCTCATATACTTTGTCCCATTTTAAACCCAAGTTGAGTTCCATGATTAATTGTTAATACTGTATTCATTTGACTATAAGCTGAGTGATTTTACATAAATTAAAACTGAAGTGAATTAAAATTTGGGCTCTAGAGGTGGTCTCGGCCTGTAGTTGAAAGTTTTTGAAAAAAAATTTTGTAGAGGTACACCCCAATGTAAGTATTGTTATTCCATTGTAATAACTGGCACTTAGGTAGTTGGAATTCAAGACTTAAGGCCAAGTCACCACAGATTCCACAACTTACAAGGAAAGTGAATCTCAGAGCACATACATACATACATACATACATACATACATGCATGCATGCATGCATGCATACATGCATACATGCATGCATGCATACATGCATGCATACATACATACATATACTTTATTTCAGCTCCAAATTCAGTATAGCTGTAGAGCTAATATCTTCAAGAAGAAAGCTAAAAGTGAAATAAAAATATGCTATCTTACAATTTCAATATTATTGATAAACTATACACAACTAAAAGCTTAATGCACATGTTTGGCTAACACACGTTTGGCTAACACAAGTCATGTGATAGAAGGCGATTGTGCGACATAATGTTGCAATAAGCAGCTTCTGTTGTTTAAAAGCAGTTTCAAGGAACAAGTAGCTTCTCTTTCATTACACAGAAACAGTTCTTTCCTTTCAAATACAATCAGTTCTAATAACCAAAAGACAAGGCACTTTTACACTAGTGTACAATGATAGCTATAGAATTTAAGCAGGGTGCCAAAGTGTGCTTTATTGTAATGAGATCAGCTTGTCAATAGATGTGTGAGATTTGCACACCACAATTATTGGTTAAGAAACAGAAACAATCTCAAACATTTACTTGTCGCACAGTTTTTACCTGTTAGTCCTTTGTGAGTGGAAATTTTTTTTAGCTCTTCAAAGTCTTTTCTCAAGGGGAATTTGGTTTCAGTCAAATGCACAATAATTTACTTCTAGCTGTTGTGTCCTAACCAGGACATGTTCTGGAAATTTTCAAGAGTTTTTGTATGATTGACTTCCTCAAATAAACCAAAAGTGAAATAATGGTCAACTTAATTTACTTTTCACATTCAATGTGTGTGCTGTGTTATGTTTGTAGAATCACTGGAGCCATGTAAAATACTTCTAGGATTTGCTATGATCTGCAGGAAAATTGAAAACAAATTCAATAACTAAATTTCTACCACCCAGTTGAGCATTGTCAGCCTGAAGAGAAACCCTTTTGTTGATAGGCTGAAGGTATAATATGAATTAAGGTAAGCATTTTCCCTTTCAAATTTGAAGAATTTTTAGTTATGTATTTGTATTTGAAAACAATTAATTCTTATTTTGCATGCTTAAACGTTAAAGTAGTGTTTGACTGCAGTAAATACCAATCTAAAGTCAAATTCTTCTTGTAAATAGAAGTATTTTTTTCTAAGCAGGAAGGCTGAAATAAATGAGTATGTGTTTTATGTTTCTCATTACAGGTATGAAATTTTAGCCTTGATTTTTGCGTAGATCATTAAATGTGAGACCTTTTCACTTTTATTCATGTTAATAAAGGAGTTTGCTTGCCAGTTGTGTTGGGATGATTGTTCTCAGTTCCATCACATCCTTTTGTCAACTCCCAACCTTTAGGTGCGTCTTATGATCAAGTATTTTCACGCAATTTCCAGTTTGGGAACTTGGCTTGACTAAGTTGCCTAGTTTGGGGCACTTCTTATAACTGAGTGTCCCTATAACTGAGAAACTAATGGTAACTGAAAACTTGCAATCAATGTCTACTGACTCATGCTGCACAGAAAATTATTGAAAATTGGGACTCTATTTCCTCATCCTAATTCATGAACCAAGTACGAGAACTAGTAATACATTTGATGAACTCTCTACTGGAGTGGCTCTACACATGTGTAACACAGTGTAGAATTGATTCAATTACCAGCAAACTTTAATGAGAACTTCAGTTCCTAACAGAACAAAACCAGCACACACTAGCATACCTTTTTGGTGATGGCATGCATAGCTGGCTTGATTCTACTGGAGTGGTTATGTCTTGTGATGAACGTAGATCAGTATTGAGAGATTTGCTGTGTGAAAGTTAATAAGAATTCTCAAATTTTCAATTTTCAATGTGTTGAGTTAAGACTTCTATGCACGTCTATTGATATTTGTCTTTGTAAAATACACTTTCATGCAATTGATTGGTATGTATAAAATCCACACTCTAAATTAACCTTTTTTGTTTTGCTTTAAAATGCATTGACTGCAAAAACAAGCATGCAAGCACACATGTGTATACTGCAACCTAAATGCACTTGATTCTGTGTGCCACTTAAGATGTCAGAAAAAATAGAAAATCATCTTTACTACTCATCCATTGAATTTATAGCTTATACTGCCTGACAAGAAACACTCCTATATCAATGACTTTGTGTTAGCAAATCCTACTTGCTGTTGAGTAATTATCCATAAATTCATAGGTGGTCACCTGCTAAGAAGTTTGACTAGCTAGGGCTATTGGGGAGTACTTTTGTTGCACCCTAATTTTAGGCATTGTGTACTTTGTGATTTAGGGGATAGTTTTGACCAGTTAAAGTTTCAGGGAAAAAAATTAATTTACCACAAAGACAATCCAGTATAGTTTTAATTACATTTTGTAAGAAATTCTATCATGAAATTGACATCTTGAAAACTGGAAACTACACATACATGTACACATGAGTACAAAGCTGTATGGTTAGATGGTTATTATCTTCAGCAGGTTTAAGTTTCAACACATTGTTAATTATAATCATTAACTACAATGACAATCAGTTAAATTGAGTATTTCTTACATTATAATGGCAGTGCAACCTGCCATTCAATGCCCAAGGATAGTGAAAGTCATAGAAGGCGAACAAGCCATTATCTCATGCCATGTCAGCGGTGACCCAACTGCAAATATCACATGGATCAGAGAGTCTCATTTTGGGAAAGTAATCTCTCATAATTCAACTTTGGTGATAGACAATGTGCTCATTTCTGATGGTGGAAAGTACAAAATCACAGCCAACAATGGAAGGAGTACAAGTGGTGTGGTGAAGTTGGAAATTCTGTGTAAGTATTACTTGCTGTTACATTGCACTAATTAAACACAGTGTCATATGCCAGTTTCATACATTTCAGATATTCCATAAAAACTTTGAAATTATTGCATGGAGTTGCATGTCTTTGGATGATATGGCTAACAGTACACAAGTCCATTGAGGGTGAATCTTTCCATGAATATCTCTGGTATGAAACTCGAACACTTAAAAATGGCCATCATCAGGAGAGTAAACAATAGCAACAGTAATACAACCAATTGTCAAAATAAATGATCCATATTCCTCTGATATCATTGACTCAGTATTCATATCCCTCAATGGTCATCACCATGGAAATCACCACAGTTGCTTG